TAGGCCAAAGTTGTGTAGGAATTGGAACTGGCAGTGAGTTTGGGATTACTTCTTAACACACACACACACACACACACACACACACACACCTCTTCCAGGGAGCCGTGAGGGTGGTGATCTCATTTCACCAGGCATTTCCATCCTCAGTTGCCTCTTTTTACTTGTTGAAACTGATCCCAGGATCGCAAGGATTAGGAAACCCCTGGAGGGATGGAGAAAAGGAGCTGGTAGCCACAGCCCTCCAGCAGGAACCCCACCTCCCCACCGCCTCCAGAAGTTGCTGCGGGAATCTTGGCCAGCAGAGCAAGGAACCCCTCAGCCACGCTGCCTGAAAGCCTTTGGGAGCCAGTTCTGGCAACCGGGGGGGAGGGGTCACTCTGCTGCTTCTGGTTCACGGTGCTTGTGCTGTAGCTGCAGGGGGGGGAGCCATGGGGAAGGCGAGCGGCACTCAGAGCAGCCAGCAGGGAAAGGAAAGTGGCGCTCACCCTTGGCATCGCCCAGGCCATGGGCAGGGACTCGGGGGCGCTTCCCAAGTCCTTTCTCGGGGCTTGTGCGGGCTTGCCCATCTTAGCCTCCCACTGGTTTGGCAGTTTGGAAGCCTCTTTTCTCTCTGACCCAAATCCTTCCTCCCAGCTCTTTTCCAAAGGTGGGCTTCCCCACTTCCAGGTAAAGCAGGGGGGCATGTAGGGCAGTTGCTGGGCTACCAACCAGGGTGGCTGTTACTAACTCAGAAGACGCCCGGTGGCCCCTTCCCTTGGAAGCCCCCTCCCCTCGGGCTGAGATGCTGGGCTCCTTGGGCGACTGAGCACAGGCCCCCACCGCTCCCTCCCCCAGCCGTGCCTGAACTGTCACAGAAGGTGTCCGGGGGGGGGGGGGTCCTCCCTTTCAGCTCCAGGCATCGGGTTTCTGGGAAGGGAGGCTCCTGGACACCTGAATGGGTTTGTTTCTTCCCTCCCCCCCCAGCGCCTCCCGAACGTAGGGCTAGTCTCAGTCTGTCTCAGGGGTTAGAGCTCGTCAAGAGCTTCGAAGGTGCTGTACATTCTGAGAAGTACGGAAGGAAGTCAGTAGAAAGCGCCGCTTAGCAGTTTATTGAGCCCCAGCAGTAAGGCTCACCCTGCAGAGATCCATTCTGCCTCAGGCTTTGGGCAGGAGAGATTAAAAGCATTTTAAACAGACTCAAATCAGTGAAAAGAGGGGTTTATTGACAGTGGAGTTCACAATCTTAAAATCCAAATTTGCAGGGTGGAGGTACATTTGTAGTGTTCTTGTGAAAAACACCCACTCACGTTTATTCAGAGCATTGTTTAACAAGACGGCTTCTCCTCCGCCCCGGACGTGCGGGCACGAACCTCCGCCCAGCGAAACCTGCAGCCGGGGCAATCTCCTCTCCCTCTTGCTGGCTGACCCGTGGCAGCGGAGGCTTGTTTCTGCGGCATTCCCGGCCTCTTCTGCCGGCCTTTGGGTTCCCTTCCTCCGCCTAGCCGGGAAAGGGCTCTCCGCTCTTCTTCTACACGCTTTGGGATCTTGGTCCTGACTAGGTATTATGTGAGAGAGGAAGAGAATGTTTCCCTGCAAATATTTAAAATAGAACGGGGCCCTGGGCTTCTTTTCATTCCAGCTGCTCAGAAATACTGGTGGTTTGGGATGTCCCTGAAGGGGAGCAGCGGGAAGAGGGGCCTGCCTGGAAAGGTATTGGGGGGGGTGTTCGTTCCCTCCAGGTCATTATCAGGGCATGACATGTTGGCCCCGGTGCATATGCACAGGTCAGCCACAGCCCTGTTCTTCACAGACCCCCCCCCCTTCTGCCTGGGAGCCCGATCACAGGAGCCTGGCTGGAGCGCTTCAGTGCCACTTGCGCCTGAGGCTTCGGGCTACCTGAGTTGCTGGCCTGCTTGGATCCCTGCGTTGGTCCCCGTGAGATAAAACAGAGTGCTGAACGTTTTCAACTAAAAGTTATCTCCTGTTAAGAAAGGCTTCCTCTCAGCCATGGAACTAGAGCAGATTCCTGAGAGCTGATTCAGAGGAACCCTCTTTGGCCTGGTAGCCTTGAGATAAATTCCCTCTGACTGTGAGAATTTTGGGAGTTGAAGTCCAGCATATCTAGGGGCCAAACTCCAGGGGGGCGCTCCATCTTGATGGCCGTTGCCATCTGCAGAAACCACGCTGGTCTTTCTCAGCAGATCTCTGTTTTCACGCCCTTGGCGAGAACGGGCTTTGGTGGTTCTGGTGTTCAGGATGGCCAGCCCTTGCACTGCCTTCTGCCTTCGGGTGGGGCCCTGATGTGCCTGCTCCGTGGTTTTGACCCTGGTGAGCTGGGTCTAAGAAGCCTTCGCCATACGGTGCTTCCCCTGCTGCCTCTGCGGGAGCCGTTTTGTGTACCTGAAAAGGGGCCTGGCAAAATTCATGCTCCCAGGGCACTTTGGGTACAGGTCCTGCGTTTCTCCTGCAAATGAGAGACCGGCAGGGCCGGCAAGAGACCTTGCCCACCAGGCTTCACGCCAGAATCCTTCCCTGCTGAAAGTGGCCGGCCTTGTACTTGTGACCCCTTGCCCCATTGTCTCCGGTTTGAGATGGGGTGGTGGAAGCGGCCGAAGGGTTGGGCGGCCACCTCTCCAGCTGAGCTGTCGTCACTGGTTCTTCATCGCAGCGTGCCTCGCGCAGTCTAGGTGCGAGATCCGGGCTCCTGATCTCCCACTGAGACCAATAATGCAGCGATCAGGTGTGTTCCGGTTGCCATTCGCGCCAACTTCATTTTATTTGTTTATCATATTTATATAGCCGCCCAACTCACATAAGAGTGACTCTGGGCAGCGATAAAAGTGACTCTAGAGGCTGAGTGAAAAGGACTGCTTGGTCCTTGGTCAAGGAAAACAACCACTGCGATCCTCTGCAAGTTGCTTCCCAGGTCTGAGAACATTTATATTAAGCTGAGCTTGTGCACAATCACCCCGAATTTGGCCTCTTCTTTTTTTGAGTCACCTGATAGCTCATTTTCTGAATCAGCTGCTGATGCTGGGCACGAGTGGGACCTTTTGACCACCATTGTCCTGTTTCTTAAGAAATCTCATGGAGGGA